AACGCTTAATAAAATCAAAGCAACATAGGTAGCATCTGCTGAACAAAATTTTCTTCGCACTTTTTCTTCTACGAAGTGGTGTAATTGTATTTGGTAGTGCTGATGATGATTAGACCAACCAACTATATACAAAGTTGTTTACAATTCTTTCAGCAGACAGCTGTACAACTAATGTATTGTACAAAGAGTAGTTGCTGAAATGGCCAGAAATATGCTTCATGAAAGCGGTTCCAGAACAGTTTTTTTTTTTTTTTGTTGACGATTTTTGATTCAAAAACCTTACTGGTGCAACTCTTTGTTTTCTTCTACTTATCTCCAATCCCAAATCAATTTATTTTTTACTCCATTTTTTTCTACCTGATCCTTTCTCAATTTGATAAATTAAAGTTTTGCAAAATTTAAAATTTAGCATTATGGATGCATGTCGTTTCTGATGTCGTAGTCGGCGTCTTCCAGTGGAGTAGACAGCAAACTTTTCATTTTCTTGTTGAAACACCTTTAGTTCCAAACGACAATATTTTTTTTGTTGTTGAAAAGATTTGAGCAGTGTTTAGCAGCAAGGATAGCATTCAAAAATCTGTATGATAAAAATACTGCCTTAAAATGTATCGGAAGGCTGTTTTATTGGTTGAACAGAAACCAAAAATTTATAATGACAACAGCAAAACTTGAATATAAAGTGAAAACTGTAATTGCTTTTACGTTAAACAAAAAGAAAAAAAAGGAAAGAAAAGGCAAACAAAAATTAAATGATGTGAGAAGGTTGTTATTTTTTGGTGTTGATTTAGTTGGGGTTTTTTTTTTTCAGTCGAAAACGGGACAAATTGATTTGTTTGTACGGTGATCACTATGATTGGCAAATGATAAGTGCTAAAGAAAAAGCAAAATTTTAAATAATTTGATAGTGGTGATCGGCAACGGAAAAAAAAACTTGTTTCTTCTGTTTTGTCCTTATACGGTCAACTTTAGATCAGTTGTTGTTGTTTTTTAAAATTGTTCATCTCTACTATTGTTTTTTTTTCTATTTGTTTTCTAAACATTTCGGAACAGCTTTTCAGAAAAAAAAAACTTTCTGTGTCATTATGCAACAGCAGCGGCAGCAACAGAAGAAAAAACTGTTTTTTTTTTTTCGTTTCTTTTTTAGAATTTTGTGACTGTGAAGGAAAAAAACAGCAATATTTAAAAGAAAATTTATAAGTTTTTTTTTTTCTTCTTGTATCGACAACAGTCTCAATTTTGTCATTACTCTGTTAGTTGAAACGGGACAAAAAAAAAGCGGAAAAAAAAAAGAAAAAAAAGGAATTTATTGATCAACAACAAATTTTTGTTGACAACAGTTTACGTATTGTGGTAGTTTTCGTCATTGTTCTTTATGCAATTACTTTTTTGGCACCATTAAGATATTAGTAAAACATCTTTTTTTCACCCTTATCGATTTAGTTTCATCAACTATCTTCTAGCCTGAAGTAAATCCTTCTAATGATTCTGTGCAGCAATAATGAGAAGTATTTTCACTGTCCGGTCGATAGCCCCATTTCGCTTGCTTAACTCAAATTTGCTGTTTATTGAGAACAGTCACCACTGTAGGATTCCTGATGCTGTTAGCTGGATATATATCCGCTAAAGTAGAAGGTGGAGAGGGAGAGAAGAAAGGTATTTATTGTTCGTTGAGTACAACTGCCCGAGTATTCAATCGGTGTTAGTCAATTTTTTTATGTCTTTGTTTTTCCTTCACCGGTATTTCTTTTCTTTTTCACTTTCCTTACCCACTATTAAATTTCCTACAGATTGAGGAATTGTTATTATTCCAGTTTTTTTCTTCCAACACCAAAATTGTCGCTTTTTTTTTGTCATTCTATCATCAATTCATCGACTATCTATTATTTATCACTTCCACTAAGGGAAAATAAGAACAAGGGGGAAATGAAACAACTTTTTTCTGGGTTTATTTTTGAATACTATTTTTTTCTTTTTGAACAACAAAAATGTTTAGTGCCAAGAAAAAAGTATGCAAAAGAATAAACCACACACACAAAAAAATATATATAATTTTACAAACTGTTACTACTTAGACAGTAATTTGTTGTAAAAACAAAATAAGGAGAAAAAATGTTTTTACCAGCATAGTATACACTGTTTTGAGGTAGAATGTGATACAGCTGCGACTCACTGGTTTCAGACAGTGCAACACCAGTAACCTGGATACCGATGGTATCTTCAAAATCGGCTCTAGCCCTGCGGGCTTCTGATTTTGTCATGTAAAGCATTACGAAACGATTCGAGCAGTTTTTAAGTTTCTTCGCCTTACAAGCATACAGTTTTACCCCCCCAACAAGGGTTTCGCTGTCTTCATCTCGGTCTCTACCGTCACCACCCACGTTATTCTTCGCCTTCCCATATGACATTTTAGGGTTCGATATGTCTACAGTTCAGAACTGTATGATTTAGATCTGTGAATTTTTCTTATTCAATGGCTTCTCCTTCTTCTTAGTTGTCTTCATCATCGTCTTGTTGTTTTCATTGGGTCGTCAATTTTTTGTTGTTTTTAACTGTTTAAGAAAAAAATAAAAGTTTATGAAAATATTGTCGCTGACAGTTGAATTAATTCTCTATATTTCTTTTCTGTTATCACATGCAACGTTTTGTTCTTCTTTTTGCTCGTTTTTGTTTTTGTTTTTTTCGCTTCTCTTTCTACCTCTGTTTCTATTTTTTTTTCAAGGTTTAGGAAGCTTTTTTCTATCACAGCTTTGTATTTTTTGATTTTCACTTAGAAATATCGTTTAAAAGACGGCAAGCAAGAAAACAGAAAAAAAGGAGGCAACTTTGTTTACGTAAAAACGGAGAAGAAAACTTGTTGCATTTAAATCTTTATAAATTTTTGGTTCGTTTTTTTTTTCCTTTTGTATTTTTGTTATTTTTGCTGTTACATATTTCAATGTCTTACTATATTATTATTTTTTGTGCGTCGGTTGAGGCCGCACTTTTTTGTTTTGCTTTCTTCGTTGCTGGTGCTGTTTACTTGAACTTTCTTTTTTTTCACCAATTCAGTTTCTTTTTTTTTTTTTTTGTTTTCATTAAAACATCAGTGGAAATTTTTTAAAATAGAATTGTGTGTTCTCTTAGTTTTTTTTTTTTCTTTCTTGAAATTGATCGGTCTGAATTTGTTGTTGGTGTTGCTGCTGCTGCCGTTTTTGTAAGAATGTTTGCTATTCTTTGGAACGAAAAAACTTTCTCATTCTAAATTTTTCATATCAGAAAAAAAAAAGAAGGAATGGAGGAAAAAAGAAAAAAGAAAATTATTACATCAAAATTTTGTGAAAGTTATTTGGTTGGGAACTCTTTTGTTGTTGTTATTTTTTCCATCGCCCTCAACTTTCTGCTTCCTCTTCATTGTATTCTTCTTAGTTTGGTTTAGTTTTTTTTGCCTCATTTTACTTCAGTTTTGAACCATAAACTTTAGCTGCTTTGTTAAAAGAAATCTCTTTTGTATGTTCTTTTCAAAGCCAAAAAAGTTGATGAAAATAGCGGAAAAAAACAAACAGGCAATTGTTAAATTTTCTGCTGGTATTGTTGTTGCTGTTGTCGACGACGTCATGGATAATAATGTTCTTTTAGTGCTATATTTCTTATTTTCGTCGTCGTCGTTATTGTATGTTTTCGCTTCCGTGTATCTTCAAGAACCACAATTTTCTACCTGATTTCTTTTTTGTTTTATCTTGTTTTGTTTTCTATTCTGTTTTCTACTCTATTTTTAGCACAAAATTTTTACTGGGGAGGCTGTTGGAGACAAGTTGTAGGAAAAGTCATTGTTCCCAAAAAAAAAAATTTTTTTTCAACATATACTCCTTTCCTCATTGTTGCACACCTTAGTTTATTTACTGTTCAAGCGGCTTTTTATGGTCTCACGATCTTGTTATTTACTTTTGCCTTTTCACCTTTGTACCACCTTTCTTAAGAGAAAATAAGGATTGGGGGGGTGGGGGAGGGGAGATATGAGAGAGAGAAGGCAGGGTGAGAGGATGGAGTGAAAGCGAGGTGGAATTTGAGGACGGTAGAAGAAAAAAAAGATTAAAGCCATTTTTCATCCCAATTACTGACCCAAAACACTAACTCTTATGCTAAAAACAGATGCAGACAACAGCGACACTGATAGTAGACGTACCATCTGTGTAAATCAAAGTCTTTAAAGTTTCCCAGTACTAAACAGCGTCATCATTGGAAATTTGACCTCTAAAAACCAACTTTTTTGGCTTACCTTTGTTTCAGATTTCTTTAATAAATTTTTCCTAGATTTATTAGGCAAAAAAACTGAAACGGACAACTAAAACTCCTTCTTATTCTAGATTTCTTCTATTTTTACTCATTTCCAAATGTTGCCAATTGTTACAAACAAATAAGCACTTGATAAGCATTGTTTGCGTCACTAAAATCAGGTTAATAGTGTTGTTAAAGGTTGTGAGCTCAGTACAAGTTTGTGCTTAAAACAAACATTGGATATTGACGGATTGTTGTGTCAACGGGATTTGAATTTTAACAGTTCAATCGGTTGCACTCTTTCTGCCATCCACTCAGCAAAACGCAAAAAGCAGAAGCCGGTGTAAAATAAATTAGAAAGGCAGAAAAATGCTGAAGAATTTTGCCTACATAAACTTTATGTTTACCGATTTTTTTATTTTCCCTCCTAACACTTCGGATGGATCTTTCTGTTTCCGTTAATCAGAATTTTTCGACTTTAGTCATGTAGCTGAAAGTAATTGAAGTTGATTTCAGTGGCATTATTTGTCATTCACAGTACAATCCAATCTTTTTGTTCCTTCATATCCCCACCAGTCCGTTTAGTTCGCTTTACCATCTTATATCAAAATTCTGTTTTTTATCATACCAACAACTTCCCATTGTATTTCACATTTCAAGTTTTTCACATTTCTTTCCTCAACTCTGTTTAGCGCTTAAGTTTAACACTTCAGATAAAGAACATTAACAAATATCAATTATTTAAAACTTCAAGTCCACTTAAGCGTGATAAAGCAAGAGAGGATTTATAGGAGAGAGGAACAAAGAGATGAGGATGAGTAGGAAGGGAAGGAAGAAAAATATGAAGGAGACCGAAAAAAAGAGGGCAGGCTAGTGGAATTGGATTGGTTTAAGGAGGTTGTCAAAAATGCGACAATTTGTATTAGTGATCTGCTGTGGTTTCAAGCGTTTAAATAAACTTTGAGGAAAAAAAAAGGAAAAGAAATAACATCAATTCCTTTCTCTCTTTCATGGCTGTTTTTTCAAAAAAAAAAATTTTAGAACAAAAAAGAAGAAATAAAAGAAGCAACTAAAAAACGCTTTTCCTCTTTAGTGCTAAATTTCTGCTTTTTCTGCTATTACCACTGCTGATGTCGCAGCTGCAAATAACTTCAAAAATTGACAACCCATTTCTGCAGATCTTACTGCTGGCAGCTTTTTAAATTTTGCGCCTGGCTTTCCGGTTACAGTTTGGTAGGCCTGCAACCAAGCACTACATGATGGGCGGTGAAACGTAACCAACTTGGGCTTTTTTCAATGGAAGCTGCACTGCAGGATGACATCAACAACTGTGGGCATCTGAAGCAAAGTTGCCTAACGTTCAGCCGGCCTTGACCCTGTGGTAAACTAAAAAATGCCCTCTAAATTTTAACAACAGCAAAAAAAGGAAAAAAAAAGAAGAAAAAAAACAGGTCTCTCATTAAATCAGACATTTTTCTTCTATATTCTTCGGCTTTTTTTCTTCTTGTGATAATTAATTCTTCGGGGAGGGGGGTTAGCGCCCCTCAAAAAATTCTTTACTTCATTTAATTTAAACTTTTTTCTGTCTTTTCTTCGACTTTTACAAAATCAAAGTAGAAAAAATATTTGAAAAAAAAAAATTCATATAACTGTTG